ACAGTGGAGACAGAGAGACTGGCTTACCGACTCAGCTACTATTCTTGCTAGACGAGGTAAGGACAGAGATGAGAAGATACAATACAAGAAATACCCAACCCCAAACCAAGCCAAAAGCCATTGAGTCAGAAACAACTTGTAGACGCCGCATATGGTTGTGAGCCTAAAAATCTTTAAGGAGCAGAGAAACGCATCTTTGTCCTGCAGAGCAGTGGCTGACGGATAGCAGTCCAGTGCTGACCCAACAGCGCCATCCGGACTCCTTTCAAGAAACAGCCAAGAAGTAAACAAGTAAGCCTAACTATTGGCTAGGGGTCACAACACAGGTGAGCAAGTGGACAGCGACGCCCATGACAGGTAACACAGGCCAAGAAGTCCAATGTGAGAGCAGGAATTTGCTTATTATCACTGGGGAAAAGGAGCCGGGAAAGTAGGGGGAGAGAAGACCCAAGATGAGTTTACCTCCCAACTTGTGTAATGTAAACTGCTACCCAGTAAAGCTAGGCAGAGGCAGGTAAGGCTGGACTAGGAGACAGTCGCTATTTTACAGGTTGCAAATGAAAACAAGGAGAGAGTAAACCCAAGGAGAGAAACGGTATCTGCCATTCAGCCAATTCCAACTCACGGCCACCCTATAGAGCGCTACCATGGTGGAGAACATTTACAGGAGCAGGATAGCCTCATCTTCCCCTAGTGACACAGCGGATGGCTTTGAACTGCTCACCTGTGGTTCCTATAAACTTTCAGTACTAGTATTTAATGAGAGGATGGAAGAAGACAAATTACATCATCAGAGAAGTATGATCAGGAAAGAGAGATGTCAGAATAGACAAGACAAGAGAGAAATGTCAGGGAGGGGGTGAAAATTAAAGCTAAGTAAATTGACTGCATTTAGCAACGGTTTTCTAACAGAAATTACTCAAAACTGGAAAGAGCTGGCTGTCTTGTGAGGTAATGAAATGTGACTTACTTTTAAATAAACGATATAGGCAGAAACTATAAAGTCATCTATGAAGAATGCTGAGGAAAGGATTCTTTAAGTGAGAAAAACCAAAATGAACAAACAAACAAAGTCACTGCCATGGAGTTAATTCTGATTCATATCAACCCTGAAAATAGGAGGGGCAGATAAGTGGCCACACGGAGTCCTTATGCTACCTTCAAGACCATAGGGCTTTTGGACAAATCACCTTCCAATCTGGCCAATAAATGGAATGCTGGGTTATCCTAACAAAAGTTGGAGGGTGTGCTCATGGAACATGAAAGCAACCAACAGTGGATTAAAACTGTTCTTGGGGTATAAAAACAACTGCTGGAAAAGGTATAGAAATAGCTGATTTGGTCTACTTCCAAATTCACACTGATTTCAACTGAGCTCTCAGCAACACGGTTTTCCTTCTTTTCCCTGCATCCCCTTTCCAGCTATCGCCATTCATTTCTGAGCCCCTTCACCCTAAACAGCGGAGACTCCCACTCCCCAGGCTGTCCTGTGATAACATCTCCCCTCTTGGTCTTACATACCCTCTCAGTAATCCTTCCTCAGAGCAGGATATGGTCTCCCTCAGCCCCAACCCTCTACCGAGCTGACCATTTTCTAATCACCAGTTCTTTTTCCTCCATCTGTCCTTTTTCCTCCATCTCCTCATGTCTACACATCGTACATCGTCCCCATGTTGCAGGGAAATGCCCTCCCTTTAACCCGTTGTCCCAAATGCCTATCTTTTTCCACCTCTTACAACCACACACCTCCTACTCACTGTAATTCCCTGCAAAAGGGAGTCAGAGTCCACCATTCTACACGCACACACCAACAAGATAGCTGATGTATGACCGTTCGTTCTAGTTGCTGCTTCCTCCGTTCTTAATTCCCAGAGCTCTCTGTAGCTCATGACAGAACTGACCAACGCCTCCTTATGCCGTTCACGTTTGTAAAGAGCCAGGATAAACTGCGGAAAGCCTTCAGCACAGGGCATCAGATCTGTGTGCCGGACCCAACTTTACTGCCAATCAGCTGTGCGTCTCCTACCTCCACTCCTGCTAAGAGACCCTTAGAGCTCAGCTTAAGCACTGCTTCTCCCGAGACGCCCGGACAGCTAGATTAGCTATGATTCCTTCAGTATGCACTTTCTCAAACCCAATTCTCCTCCTCTGTATCACAATTGATTATATGTTTAGCAAGTGAACAGGCTATCTTTCCTATCCATACACCATATAAGCTACAAGGAGGTATACAATTCAATACTTTGCACCTTACTCTATCAGTGTAAAATAATAATGCTAATTGAATTAATGTTGAAATAATCAGATATTAATGCCAATTCTCAAGAGACTGCTTATATTCTATTAGCCTAAGTAATAACGTTAGTACCACCTTATTTACTTACAAAATTACTGACTAATCTTCAAAGAGAAATTCCACTTACTGTTTAAAACACATGGTACAACAAACTGCCAATTTAATACACAAACTTAAACAGAGAAAAAAATGTATCTTCTAAGATAATTACATTTCTCTTGCCCATCCCCATGGATGGGGGAACAACCGACTGCGAGACTCGATCAGTTAACTACATGTGTATTCTAAAGCATGCACAGGCTAAATGTGCAAGTACAAAGCAGGACCTGAGTGATGCTAATTTGATACTAAAGCATTATTCACTGCTTATGTATCTGGTTAGACAATAGCCACTGGTAAATTAGGCCTAAAGATATTCTCTAACGTTGGCAAAAGCCATACTGTGCAAGAAAAGCCAAAGCAAAGTTTAGCAGCCGAGCTATAGTGCAGTGTGAGTTTTAACTATTATTTGGTGTGAGCCAGGGAATCCTAAGTAATTATTTGGTGATTAGAAGTTGCCACTGGGCCTGGTCTTTCAAATGCTTACGATATGCTTCTCTGGTCAAACAATCATAACAGATTACAAGATTACACATCAATCTTCCCTTCCCAGGGTCGAATGTGTCCCCAGTCCTCAACTATCCTCTGCCACTAAGTAGATTCCAACTCAAAGTGACCCTTTAAGATGGAGTAGAACCGCCTCATAAGGCTTCCAATGTTGTAATTTTTCACAAATGTGTTGATTGCCACATCTGGCTCCCACTCTGAGAGCCCCAACCATCCACCTTAGGGTAAGCAACAGGACACTTAGGCAGCCTGTCACCAGGGTCCCCTCCTCAACTATTTATCACAGGGTAAAATAATAATGTCTCGCACGCCTGTCTTTCTCCACCTCTTGCAACCACACATCTCCTACTCACTGTAATCCTCTATCAAAAAAGATTCTGGTCTCAGTAATTTATGAGACTGGGCATTCACAAACTACAAAGGCTGCTGAAGCTACCAGATACATACATTTATTTGACTGCCGCTTGAAAACAACCTGCAAGTACCTAAATCCAATGCTGAAACAAGTGGATAGCAAGCTGTAAAGAGAGTTGTAATCCCCAGGAAAGATGAGGCATTTCATAACGGAATAGGAATAGATACAAACACCTGGAACCCTTCTCCCTCTGACACCCTGTGGCTCCCACACACAAGGGCCTCCAATCCCTGCACAGAGTCCCTGCACGGAGTCCCTCGAGATCTGCCAGCGCTTCCCGGGGACTTCGGCTAGGAAATCCCTGGCCAGAGAATGGCTACTTCGGCCTCCTCCCCCTTCCTTCCCTGAAAATTAATGAATTGGCCTTACGATTGTTTATTTAATGAGGTGTGTAGTGGCCTCTACTGGTGCTAGTGTGAGCAC